ATGTGTTAGGGCTTGTGTCAGAACTGCCTTTGTCCATATAGAAGTCAATGGTATTGCAGAAACGGCATGAAGCAGTTTAGAAAGAGGTCAAAATCAGGTCACAAGTCTAGAAGCAGGCCAGCAGCAGGTCAGAAACACTTCTGAAGATGAAGCATCTTAGAAGCATTTCATATGCAAGCTGAATGCACCTGAAAGCATGCTGCATTTGCCCGTCTGCTCAAGCACTTTGTGTATTAAATACCTTGTTGCAATCTATAATTTAAAAATGGGTATGCATAAGGTAAAACCCATATGTGCTTAATGTACCTGCATTCTCTAATGCTCATGGCACTTAGTAGTACTGCACTGTGGTTGTGCTTTGCTGATCCTCGTTACGTCAGTGTAAGTCTGTTAATCAAGTATGACTGAAAGAAAATAGGAGATACTCAACTGTTTCTAATTACATAAAACACCTTTAAGGCTCTTGGTAGCCAGAGAGCTAGGGATGAACCAAAATTTCAGCCGGCGAAACGTATTGGCCGAAAATTGCACTTTTGGTAAAATGCCGAAAGTGCTATCTTTCAGCTGAAATAACAGTGCGTCCCTGCTTTCTCTCTGACACATCACAGTGTCCAGCGGGGAGGCGAGAAGCTGTCAGAGGAGGCCAGGCGGTGTGGGGGAGGAGCACCACTCATCCTCCTGTGACAGATTAGGGGAGCAGCGGTGTGGGGGCAGAGACAGATTGCAGTGCTGTCACAGGAAGCTGAGCACTCCTCCCAAAGCCCCCCTGCCCAGCCTCCTGTGGCAGATGAGAGCAGTGGTGTGGGGACGGAAACAGCTGTAAGCTTTCACAGGAGGTGGGCCCGGCAGTGCGGGGGAGGAGTCAGCTGTCAGAGAAGATCGAGATCTCCTTCCCTCACAGCTCGTTAATCCTCCTGTGACAGCCGATCCAGGAAGGAGAATGGCTACACAGGGCTGGATTCCCGACAAGGCCACCGTGGTGAGGCCTGGGGGCGGCTTGAAGTCTCCCGACGCCCGGAACATGGAGTTCTGGGCGCCGGGCGGTAATTTGTTTTCTACATTTAGCCCTGCTTTGCACAAGCAAGGCTAAATGTAACACGGGGGAAGCCACTTGTTTACAAGTGATCTTGGCGATGTCGTAATTAGATTGCAGCCAGTCCGTCCTCCCCCCGCTGCCCCCTAGCCCTGCACCTACCTCTCTGCATGCTGCTCCATCCTCCTGACTCTGTCTCCCGGCTCTGTCCTCTCCTTGCTGGCCGCCGCTGTCTTCAGGATGGAGATCGGTGAGCAGAGCAGTAGGGTTAAAAGTAACCCTGCCGCTCCATGTATACAATGAGAGGGGAGAGCAGTCTTCCCCTCTCAGCTGTCAGAGGAGATCCAGCACAGTGCTGTGCTAGAACTCCTGTATTGGAGGTGACAGGGTCAATAAAGAGAACCTGTCACCTCCAACTGGGTACAAGCACTCAGTGATCACTGACTGTTTGTAAATGATTGAGGACAGATAATGTTTACTGTGACCTCAATTATAAATGAATGGGAAGTGATCTACATCACTTCCTGTTCATTCATGATTGCGGATATAGTAAACATACTATCTCCATAAGTTATGAATGATCAGGAACACTCAGTATAGCGGATTCCTGTTCATTTATAACAGGGACTGCAGAAAAAGAGATTGAGGGCTTTGTGTTCTCAATCTCTTATTCTATTTTAAAAGGGAAATATCGGGGGTCTGTTTAGACCCCTAATATTTCCCCGAAGCCCCTAAAAGTAAAGTAAAAAAAAAAAAATATTTAATAAAAATAACTAAATACATAAAATATTAAAAAATTCAAAAGATTATAAAAAATAAATACAAATAAAATATTTTTGGTTTCGGTTTTGAAATTTTCATTTTGGTGTACCTCTACCAAAGACCATGTGAACATGTGACGTGACCATAGACTCCAGACTTAAAGTCACATGATAGAATTTGGGAAGATGCATCCTTTTTATTTATGGCAATGAAAGCTACAGTTCAACTAAAAATAACAATGTGATTTGGTAGAACTGTCATGTACTCAATATATTCATGTAATGTTTACATTTTATGATAGCTCCATATTAAGGGGACAATATATATTTTGCAAGCAATTTTTTTAGCAAAACAAAATCCATGATTGGGTGGCTTATCATTTTTTGATAGTCAATATTTCACAGTGTAATGTTTATGCAGTATAAACTATATAACAGTATAAAAGAGAGCTTGACCAATGTGCATGGAACAATTGATGTGCATGACAGGAATATAATTCAGAGGCATTTACATGTGATCCTTAAAGTGTAAATGCAGCCAATTTAGTTTTTTTTATATTTTGCTAGTGGGGAGTGATTAGAACTCCTGTCAAGTGTTTACAGAAAGCCAGGGCTCCAATAGAGAGATATACCCTCACGTCCTATCCTGTTGACAACAGTTTACCAGACAGGATGTGAGGGTACCCATTAGTCCCCTGGCAATGACTCATCTTCTTGATCCTGAGAGGATCCTGTTTGACAGCCAATAGAAATTGTCCACATCATGGAGCTGCCTCCCTAATCAGCCAGCTTGAACACTTCTTAGGCCTGGTTCACACCTGGGCGTTTTACAGCGCGTTCCTACGCGCTGTAAAATGCTCAACAAGTGAAAACCAATAATTGCCTATGGGCATGGTTCCCACCTGGGCGTATTTCAGCGCGTAGCAACACGCTGAAAAACGCCCTACGCCCAAAGAAGTACAGGAGCTTCTTTGGGGCGTATTTTCCGCGCGTATCAATTAGGATACAGCCGGATAGCCCTCGGAAACGCGCGTTTGTCACACATTTTTTAACCGCAAATCGTGGTAAAAACGTGCGGCCTGAAACGCGTGGCAAACGAGCATATTCCGTACGCCCAGGTGTGAACCCAGCCTTAGAGTAGAACACTTCCCTGCCCCCTCTTCTGCTTTCTGTTACTCCTAATTGGTCTATCACTGGCCAATAGGAAGTCACGGTGGGCAGGTGGGAGTGGATAACCTTTGAAACTTACAGAAATTGTCAAAGCTGGCTGATTAGAGAACCAATGGTTTAGGGGGGACTAGCACCACTTTTTCAGAGTGCTAAAGGCACTGACAAGAACGCTAGGCATGTGTTCAGGTAATGGGTAATTATTTAATTTTTTTTGTGGTAAGTAAGCACTTGATACTTACTGAGCCTCAGCATATAATTATCAGACAGCGTTGTCTATAACCTTTAAGTTAGAACACTGTTAACTATAATCCTTTCACATAATGTGTGCAATGATATTTAGGTACAATATAGTTCAATCATAGATCATTAAAATCCCCTATTCTGACTGGTCGGTTCATGCCCCGAGCAAAGATTAGGTCCAGATAGAACAACTATTGTCTGATGTCCCCATCGGATCCTGGCCCTGGCTACAACGCCAACACCTACCGGCTCGGGTATTGAACCACCCGACGGTTGGTACATCCCTACAGGTTTTCACAACCATTACCAACAGACAAGCCCTCTCCTCCACCCCAGGCCCTCTCACGCCTCTCCGCTTCAATCCGGCCTTTCCCCCGGGCCAATGTGCATCCTTCCTACGCCACTGGTCCGCCGACACTCCCCTGACTGCCCGAATATTCTTTGACCGACAGGGTAACTTCCACACTCTTGCAGATCTAAATGCGGTGAACCCCTCCGCTCCCATACCACTATGGTCTTATTTTCAAATACGACACTACCTCAACTCGCATACGCATAGAGGATTCTTTTCCCGTGCTTTAACTCCCTTTCAAAAGCTGTGCACCTCCAACCAAAGAGCGACACATGCAATTTCATCTCTATACTCCCTCCTGAACAACTCCTCTACCCTTCCACCGACGCCCTCCACGAAGGCCTGGGAATGCGACCTCTCAGCCTCCTTTACAACGCAGGAATGGAGACGCATGGATTCCCTACTGTTAGGTAGCTCCCAGAATGTCCAAATACAGGAGACTAACTACAAAGTTCGCTCCCGCTGGTATAAAACCCGGCCTTGCTCCACCGCATATATCCAGATGCCCCTGAACAATGTTGGTGCTGTGACAGAGAAGTGGGCTCCCTGCTACACATATGGTGGTCATGCCCTTTGATCTTGCCTTTCTGGACAGCAGTCCATGCCCTGATTAAAACCATTACTGGTGTCACGCTGGAGTTCTCCCCAGCTTGCCTCCTACTGTACCATTTCGACGACGCACTCCATGTGTCTAAAAAATCCCTCACAATTAGCCTGTTGAATGCGGCAAAAATGGTGATTCCTAGACACTGGAAGTCGCTTTCCCAACCAACGAACAGAGAGTGGCTCTCCCGAATAGCTACAGTATCAAACATTGAGGAACTTATCCACTCTAGCAGAGAATTCCCTCCAGGCAATGGTATCACCTCATATGCTGTAGTCTTCCCCGATAACCACGTTAAATCAGATTATCTACACAAAGTCTTTGGACAACAAAAACACACAAACAATCCCTGATCTACACCTTTTCTATCATTAAGGGGTCATGATAACCTTGTAGCATTAATGAGAACCGTTGGTCCTTTTATTCACCCGATTAAGATATACAGGATTAGTTGTTTTCTCTTTATTTTCCATTCTCTCATTCTGCTATGTGAATAAATGTAATACCTGCACACTGGAATACGGTCTCTCATGTTAGACCCAGTTCAACTTTCAACTTTCGTTACTGTGTCCCCTTTGATATATTGCGTTGTAACACAGTTTTGGATAGCACGTGGCTGTATATGACTATCTGTTTGCCATTGTCAAGGTTTACAACAATAAAAAAACTTTACTTGTGAAAAAAAATAAAAAATCCCCTATTGTAAGATCTGTAGGTTAGTAGGTAGATTACATTTACGGCTGGAAAATTAGACAAACATGAAAATTGTAGTTCTTTGTGTACTCCAACAACTGTTTTGAAATTACTTTTGACCTAATATTCCTTTTTTTCTGACTACAGACAGCTGTTATATTGTCTGCTTCTCGCTGATCATCTTAAATACGAGCCTATACAACCCAAGTGTTAAGGAAAAGCCGGACATGCAACAATTCGTCTCTATACACAAAGGGGTACACCCAGGTGGTGATCTACCTACAGAATTGCTGGCCGTGAGTACACCTGTAATGTATAAATTGTCTTATACAAAACATGTAATAGAAAAAATATATTGGTTGCCATTGCTGATCTCCTTCTGAAAATGCTCAGTTAAAGAAAATTAAAGGAGAACTATGGGGTTAGGGCTTTTCCCCATAGTTCTCCTTAGGGTAACGGGAGGACACAAACTAGCATCCTCCCGTCACCCTAAGCTCAGTATACCGCGAGCTACAGCTCGCGGTATACTGAGACGCCGCAGCTGAAGCGGATCCCGACAATTATGTCTGGATCCGCCCAGCTGCGTGAGTGACAGCTGGCTCTACCTATCTAGAGGCAGAGCCAGCTGTACCCGCCCCCTCCACCGTCCATTCCGCCAGTCAGCGCTGGAGGATTGGAGCTGGAAGGGGAGAATTCAGCCACTCCCCTGTCACGGCAGAGAGCTGTGACAGGATAGAGAAGGGAGCGAACGCCGGTATGTGTTCGCTCAATTCCCGATCTACTGAGCCGACCTGTGACAGTCTCATTGAAACACTCACCTCATAGTTCTCCTTTAAGTCTGAACTCCTTATCTATACACTTGTCAGTGAGTCATGAAGTATGACTATCTCTTGCACAAAACGTAATGGCTTTTAGTAAAATATAGTTTGGTTTCTTCTTTTAAATGAGAATAATAAAAATAAAAGCTGCTCAATCCGTTTAAAACTAATGTAAAAACGTGAATAATAAATAAATCTACCAATCGCAAAATTGACAACAAAAAGCAGCACTTCCACATACAGTACAGTGGTAGCTCGGTTCAGGAACGCTTCTGTTCGTGAACAATTCGGTTCGCAAACAGGAAGTTCGGCAAAATGTTGCTTCTTTTCACGAACTCTGCATCGGGTGACGAACATAACCGCAGCCATCTTCCCTGCTCTGACACATGGTCGTAGCTTCCTCTAGTGGAGATCGCGGTCCGATCACAGTTTGATTTGGTTCGCGACCAATTCGGTTCAGACCAGAATCGTGGAACAAATTAAGTTCGTGAACCGAGGTACCACTGCATGTGAGAGTGCCTAGGCATACTCCATTATTCTAGCCTTACAGGACAGACTCTGACATCATCAGATGCATACACCACCCAATTCTGTCTCTGATTAATGGATTAAAACTGCCCTTGGGCAAAAAAAGCAGCTGTAAGAATGCTTACTATAAGTGCTATAAAATGCACAGCTGACTTACACCATTTGAATGAAAAAGTTAGTCTGAGTGTACTTTAAAGTGGTAAAGCTAATATTAAGCTTCCTCTTATAGGAAATGTATGAGAGTCTGAAAAAAGAACCGTTTCAGCTACCTGAAGACGAAAATGCCTGGGAGCTCACACTCGCCTTTCAGAAGCCACAGAGAGAGGGTTGGCTTCTAAAAATGGGTAAGTCTTTCCTTTCCGATCATTTTCCTTCCATTTATCATCATTTGGAAATGGTAATTATTGCCTCCTTATCATGGCATTGTATATGTCAGAACAGAGAAATATCTTAAAACCATTAAAAATAACGTACAACTTATGAACACGTTTATGGGGCACCGTTTGTCACCTGTCAGTCTGTGGTGCAAGTGCAAGTATACCTTAAAGTGCACTTGACCCCAGACTATGGTCATTATAATATTTATGTTTTCTTAACAAGCAGTAAAATAGCTTAACAAACCATCATTGACCTCTGTGGCTTCAGACACTGTGGAGAAATTCATCTTTAAATTTCACAATAGTGACATTAAATTCACAGCTCCTATCCGCTTATTTTCTCTGGCACCATAAACCTGGCAGCCTGACATCCTTTTAGTAGAAATAAAAAGCATGCTTAAAGCTGTTAGAAACTGACATAAAACTTGACTTTAGAGCCTATGCTGTGATCTTTGAGGATTATTAACTTCACAGTACATGAATGTTAAAGTCTGAGTCTCTATGATTAAGCCTTTTGGGCGAAACATGTCAGAGCCTGTGGATTTTGTCATGTTTGTAACATTGTAGATTCCTGGGAATAAACTTTTTTACACAAGGTCCTAGATGTTGAGTTCTGCTTTACATACATTGGTTCACAGTACATGCAGCTACTGAAGTCAGTGAGGGCTTGTGTTTTACTGCTTGCTAATGTAAATAATTAAATATCCACAGACTTAGCACAGATGCACTTTAAAGACAATTTTTTTAAGGTATGTTATTACATAATACAAGCAACTTAAAGCTGAACCCCAAGTATAACTTTTTGTGCATATTTTAATGGTCCATCTTGGCCCAATGTAAGTATGCTTATGTTATGCCTGAGGAGCCCACGGGAATTCTGTAAAGCACTGTAGTAGCCAAAGCTACTATAGTGCTCTACAGTGATCTTCTGGGTCCTAGTGCTGACTGAGCAACTTCCCCTCACCTCTTAACACCCAGGGGCTCGCTGGCCATGAAGAGAACCCCTAATATTTTTATCAATAAATACAAGGTATTTGCTATGAAAGGAAACCCTAATATTTTTTATCAATTAATACAAGTCGTTTGCTGATTTGAGAAGGAACACATCATGACATCATCTCCCCTTGCCCATTTAGAGAACACCTTGTATTTATTATAAAAAATACTAGTCATTCTTTGAATATCCCCTGTACTGAGCAAGCAATCAGCCATGCTTTTAAAGCAGTGGGGGTGTTGTTCATCTTAGCACCATACAAGACCCAGTAGATCGATGTAAAGCACAGTAGTAGCTCACACTACTACAGTGCTTTACAGGATTCCTGTGGACTACTAAGGTATAGCATATGAATATTTACTGTACATTGGGCCATGCTTGACCACTGAAAGCATGGATAAAATATTATACCTGCAGTTCAGCTTTAAAATGTGTTTTATGTATTTTTCTAATAAATAAAGTGCTACCCAAAACCTGACAAACAGGAAAACCCCTTATCCAAAGCACCCCTTGGGGTGCACATACCACAGATTGATTTTAGAATATAGAAAACCTTAAGGCCAACACCAGCCAAAACATTTTTTTCCGCTTTGGATATAGTGGCCAAGGCTTAAACCCCTGCATTTCATTCTTGCAGATCCCTCCAATTGGTGAAATTCCTCTCACTTTCTGTATGTTCAGTCAAAAAGAAAGTTAAGGGAAATTTTTTTCCGGCTTGTTCATACCAAACGCGAAGCAGAGAATTTACAGAACGCACAGGGCTCTAGTTCACACCACAGCGTTCAGTTCCAGAGCATGTGGAAAAAACTGCATGCCCTATTTTTTCTATTCTGGAATGCACCAAAACGCATGCAAACGCCCTGGAACACACTGAAAGCCCATTTTAGGCCGGGAACGTGGCAAACATGCGGCAAAACACACTGCACTGGATGCACAGAAACTCATGCAGATCTGGTCCGGATTTGGTGTGACCAAACCCTTAAATAGATAATGCAGACAGTAATACAAATATGGGCCCCCAAGGTCAGTTGAGTTGGGTCAGTTCCCTAGAACTAAATATTTCTCTCATAGGCTTTAGAATGTGACACTAGCATGCAGAAATGTTGTAGAAATGTAAAACTGTAACCTCTAGCAGTGGAGGGGGAGTAGAACCTGGTCTAGGGGAAGACAGGATATGTAATATGTGTAGGAAGCTGAAGGCAGACAGGGAATTTCCATGTTCAGGAAACGGGCAGATAAGCAGATGTGTAGATGAAAGAACAGATACATCAGATGTACAAGGACAGCTTCCTTCTTTTAGTTTAGTTGATTGACTGCTGTTATTTATCTTTAGCAGCATATCTCCAGGTATCCATATATATGATAAAACAATCATTTGTTGGTGTGGAAGGTCTCCTAGGTGTTTTTTATGAAGATATAAAAATTTGTGTCTGAAACTTAATAAAGAGGTCCTGCAGCTTTGGACTTGGACCTTTCAACACTGGGGATTGCATCAATGGCTTATAAAAGGGGCACTCTGTTGGTATTGTATTAAAGTGTTTCTATGAACAAGACTTTTTTTTTTCATTTGGATAGATTACTGAAGGGTGATTTTATTTTTTACTGTCTGTGCCATGTTGTGAACATTTTCCTCCACTTTCTGTACTGAAGACACAACAAGGAGTGAGATGAAAATTCTACAAAGTGAGATGAAATAGATTCTTAGATAGCTGTCACTGGAAAACATGTGTCCCCATTGGAAGATTTCCTCTCTACGTCCATTCCAGTGACAACTGTAAAACTTATCATTTCCCAACACTTCCTGTCTCGGTGACAATGGAGTCACTAGGACAAACAGTGTGGGGGAATCTATCTTTCAGGTATACAGACAGCAATAGAAACTTGATAGTGTTTCTAATGTAGTCAGTGTAATAATGTAGAGAATGGCATTGGTATAATCTGTCAGCAGTGCACTCTGCATTACTGAGGATCAGTCACTGCTGGAGAAAAGGGAAAAGGACCCTGCACGTCATGTGTGCAGCCTGAAGACCTCTGGAAAAGGTAAATATATAAATAAAAGCATAAAACCTCTGGGTAAATGGGAATATGCCACCGGGGAGGGAGCCCACAATTTGGCTTCAACACAACACATGAAATATTTTGATGTCTATGCTAACGGTGCTCTAAGATCATAGACAGAAATTCTTGTTTTTTTCCTGACTCTACCATTGCAGCACAATGACTGACATATGAAGCACAGGTTTTTTTTCCACATGTGCAAAAATGTTACAATCATGGAAACTTTATAAACAGTGGGGTTTTTGTTTTACATCTTCCATGTGCAATAGGTTTGGGTTCGTACAGCATTTAGGCCCAATCTACCACTGGATTACCATAAACAATACAATTATTAATATTATATCACACTGCAAAACTTATAAAGTGAAGTGAGGAACAGATATGCCAGTGCATGTACCTTCAGATCTTTCCTCCATTCATTCATGCCATAGCTTTTGGAGATCTCATGCTGGAAAATGCTCATCTTTGCCATAGACGTGGCCAAGCGAGTCAGCGATTGCCGTCCACTGCCTCCAACTCCAACCAGCAAGGCATTGCCACCTGGCTGCTTCAATATGCGGCAAATACGGGATAAGTGTTTAAGTACATATCTGTTACAGAAATATATAGGACAATTGTATTTTGTTTATTGATGGCAATTCATATAACAAGGTACACCATGCTGTATATATAGAAAGATGATGTCCATTGCTTGACTATAATATTTTGATATGTTATGGGGAGTGGTGTCATTACTGCACTAAAATACATCCCTTTGACATTTCTATTGGTCAACAAACAGGCTCCCCAGTATGGAGGCTTTAATCAATCCAGTCAAAATATGAGGCGGCTTAAGGCGCATGTACATTGGGCATCAGTCCCAGAAGCAAACCATAAGTAATATGTTTTTATGTTGCTTTGACTTGATTTTGAACTGCTCTGATTTACTTCTCTGATGCTTTGTATTGCCTTGTATTGGAAAGGAAAGTAGTTTAGACAAATGCCCATGTAGACAAGCCTCAAAGGTACCCTTATTAATAAAACAACAGCCACCCAATCTGGATGTTTTCAGTCAGTGTGTGTGTAGCCAATGATGGTTTCTGTTGATGAATCGGTCGGATGGTTACAGGTCTACATTAGGTTTTTGGTGTGGCATTTCTTATAGTAACCCTTACATCTGGAGTCGGAGGAGGATACATTTTTTTTCTGTCTATTTTTCAGTAAGTGACACATAGCATGTAATCATGAATATGAATCATTGAGAAACCATACACCAAAACCTTGGCTACTTTTTCCATAGCTTAGTTCCCTTTTTATAAATTATTCTGCATTCCAGCAATACATTTCTCACTTCTCATTTCTTCATAGAACTGCAAATGCTTCATTTCCAAATTGACATGTTCTTCCTTATCACGACATCTTTATATTATGGTTCTGTGTGTGTATTTGATAAACTTGCCTTGATTGTGTTTAAACTGTGCGTTTTCAATGTCATTATAAAATAGGGATGTCTTTAATCCTGGATTATTTTCATTACTAAAAAATGATTTTGTCCGTGACTGAGAATACAGCGCTGAGAACACCACACTGTAATTTCCCTTAGTACTCGTAAAGAAGAGAATCCAGTAGCTGTGGCAGACCTGAACTTTGCTTTGTGACACCACCAATCATAAGGCAGTCTAATTCAAGTTTAACTCTCAAGATTGCCCCACGAGATCTCCTTGTGTGTGAATGTCGAATCAGAGACATTAGAATGGGTCTTAAAGCTGAACTACAGGCAGATAAAAAAATAATTATTTCAGCTTGGTACACATTAATACACAATTATATATATTTTTTTTAGATGTTAGCAGTGTAACTACCTGGATTTGCCCTGGTATCAACCTCCTGCAATCCCCTATACAGCAGAGCTTAGGCTGGGAGAAGGAGAGGAAGTTTGTGCCAATGCTCATGTGCTAAAGAACTTACTGATAAGAGGAGAAAACAGAGTGACAAAGAGATGAGCTCATCAGTCTGCTTCTTTTCCTTTTACTGTCCAGTTAGAAGCTGGGGAGAGACAAGACATGTCAGTGTTATGTAACTACATTAGAAAAAAAACAGGTATGTTAGATAGGGGTGTGCTGTGTAGCAAAACTGAACTGAGATTTAAATCTCAGAACTGGATGGGCAGAAAAAATCTCATATATACATTCCATCTTTGTATTTACCCGTTTAATGTGTTTAAAGAAGAACTCCGGGAAAAACAAATATTAACTCTTGCAGTGGGGCTACCCCTTCCCTGTAAAAATGATGTACCCATTTTTGTCTATTTGCTAAAAAAAAGTTCTACTCACCCGAACTGCCGAACCGACTCTCTGCTTCTCCGATCACTGAAGCCTGTCTCCTCCTCTGCTCCACAAATGGAATGTTACTCAGCATCCTCACATCTATACACTTGTATAGAACGTGATGACACAAGGATTCTTAGACCGCTGCAGAGGAGGTGGAGAGAGGCTTCAGGGACTGGTCCAAGAACAAACCAGCTCGAATGATCGTGTGAGTATAACTTTTTTTTTTAGCACCTTACACAAACGAGCTGTTAACCCTTGCAGTGTGGGGGTAGCCCCACTGCAAGAGTTAATAATAATTTTTTTTAACCTATACTGAGACATACATGAACTGCCATTGCTGAGCTGCTTCTAAAAATGCTGGCTGCTTGGCTGAGCTGCTTGGGCTCAGGTTGGCATATTCTGCATGTAAGCAAAGGGGGCGATGATTGTGCCGATGTCATTTATCTTGGCCACATGGCCATATTAAGTAAATGTCAATTACATCACTGCATCCTGCCCCTTTGCTTAGATCAAACTGTGGGTCGGGAATTCTCCATCTGCAGCTGATTGAGTGGCAGGGAAAAAGCTCCCTTTTGTGTTTGAAAGGAGCTCCTTCCAGTTTTGGAGGAGCTCAGGAACAGACCAGTCTGAATCTGAATGCATCCCTAATGTTGAGGCACTTAGGCGGAACTTCTAAATCAGGAAAGTCAGAGTGAGGCCAGAAATTCAAAATATTTGTCACAGGCCAGTGATTTGAAAACACTAAAGCCATTGATTAATCATGCCAGTGATCTAACTTTTTTCTGAAGGAGTAGAAATGGCAGCCTCAATGGTTCCCCTGTACCGGTTTCCTTTAAAGTGAGCCTCTGTTTCTCCCATGTAGGGCAGAGGAACAGGTTTGTTTAAAGACTCCCCAGCAACACATTCACCTTTCCTTCACTCCTCTACACTCCTTTTCTCCATCTTCAATATACCACTTACATTTTAATTTTCCTCCTTCTTCTTTAACACACTCTAAATAAACGTGCATGGGCAGCCACATCTTTATTCCACACCAAATACAACAATAGACTGACTCAAGCACTGGTGTCCTTGTGACGAATGTTTATTACGAAGTTGTTGGTTTCTATAGCAAACACAGTCCCCATGTGATTATTGGCCAATCTAGGACGCCACTAATATGTGTTTCCTATTAACTTTGTTAGCAAAGAAGGATGTGCAATAATATTTGACAAGAACGTTCCTGTAATATAACATGTCAGTGTTCTGTAACCCTCCGTATATCTTTTCCATGTAGAATTCTGAATGGAAAATTATTGAATTTTAAAAGATGGTGTAACGTGAACTGTTGCTGTGCATGGACATGACACAGGCTCGCTATAAGATACCAATCCATTAGACATGTGCGATTCATTTAGTTACGAATCGAAATTCGTACGAATTTTCCTGAAATTCGTAAGCATACGAAATCCGAATTGCAGTTTCCGAATTATATCCGAAATACAAAATTCCGTATTACGAATTTAGGATCCGAATTTCTTTGAAACAGGAACTAATATTACCCCTGTAAATGAGGTTGAACAACATGACAAGATTTTTTTTTTAATCCGAAATACGGATCCTCTGCTGCTGAGGGTTGCATTACAATACACAGGCAGGAAATACGAAATTCCATTGACGTATTTTCGTTCCGTTACGAACATTCGTTATATATTGAAGTTAAAAAGCAAAGTACATTTGTATTGGAGTTAATGGTATTTTTTTTTTTAAGTCCGAAATACGAAATTCGGATACGGAATCCGTTAGCGGAATTCCTATTTCGGATAAAAAAACAACTACCACATCGACTCCAATATTAACAAAGGTATTTTTGCTTTTTAACTTCATCATAACGAATGTTTGTAAAGTTACGAAAATGTGCCGAAACTAACGAAAATATGTATTTCGTACGAATCCGAATTGAGTTTCGGATACGAATTACGAAATACGAAATAATGGATATTACGAAACGGAACGAAATGGAACAAATTTTTTGACTATGCACAAGTCTACAATCCAACCAGCACTTATTTATCAAGGTTAAATAGAATGTTCTTTTCAGATTTAAAGTTTTATAGCTAAATTCAGTGGGTTAACATTTACTCAAATTTGTGTAAGTATGGTAGAGCCTTTTGATTGTTAGCTTATTCAGATACAGGAAGCAAGTATAACTGTTTATGTACTCTGTAAAGTGCTGTTTACTATGTCTACATTACGTAAATATGATCAGTAGAGACAAGCAACATTTTGGTCAGTTATGGCTCAATGGAAATTTTTGAAACTTCCCAAAAATCTAAATTTTCTGAACTGGAATCTCATTGAAGTCAATGAAAATCTGAACCAGGCTCCAAAAGAAAGTGTGTATTACAGGGCATCAAATTATGCATTTGGTTTGGGAAGCTGATGAAAGGATGGATCCAAAAATAACCTTTATAATTCTACCAAGGATACTGAGATAGAAGGGTAGAACTTGGTGGAACTGGTAAGGCTGCTTACGCAATAATAGAAGCAGATGCAAGGCAGACAAAGCCTGTGGTCCTTTCCTCTCAAAATACTTTTGGAAAATCAAACCACCTAAAAGAACACTAAATTAAACATTTGGATTTGGCCATCTGAAATTCAGTGCAAAGTTAACATCATTCAAAATTCAGGACGAACTCTAATGAGCAATAACTAAATAAATAAAACTTGTGACTAACATCACAAAGAAAAAAAAAATCACATGAATTACCTTTCAAGTTAATGTTATTTTTTTACATTCACATGAATTTAATCAGCATAAAGGGAATCTGTCCGTCAAGGTGCCCATACAGTGCGAATTTCAGCCGGTTCTTGAGAAACCAGATGAAATTTGCACAGTGGGTGCCTTTGCTGGCACCCATGCGCTGGCATCCCTTGATCAGCTGATCGATGGAAAATCTACATATGAACAGAGCCTATAAGCTGTCAGGTTTGGGTATTCTGAGAGGGGCTGGCGGCCCCTGTCAGAATGCAATGAAAACAATGGTATTCCTTGATCGACACACTCGTAGTGCTGCTCTATTTTTTTTGTTCAGCCTACATGGTTGAACAAGAAAATTAGAGCAGTGTATGGCCAGCCTTAGCCTTTGCAGGACAAAGTGATAGGCTCTCTTGCAAGTTAACCCAGCTCTACCCAGTTATACTCACCTTCAGTACGCTCCCACACTGCTCCATTTTCTGCCATGAGGTGGGTCTAAATGCTGCGTAAGCTGCATGTTGATTAGTGTCAGAGCTTACACAAGATTTATGGCCTGCTCCTCTCCCCCCACAGTGCTCTGGTCTGTGAATAAGTCACATGCTCTTCTGTACCCTGAAACATTTCCAAGATCTCCAATGGACAAATGAAGCAGGAAAGCTGCGTTTCTGTTGGTGAGGGGGCTTACAAGGGAGCCTGTCACCTTGCCTATTTAGAGGTAAAGGTCCGTCTATCTCCCACCTTGACTGCCTTTAGGCGTTCCCTAAAGACTCATCTCTTCAGGGAAGCCTATCCCACCTCAACCTAACCACTGAACCTTCACATTCTCACATAATTCATTCCCACAGCTACCACAGCTACCTCATGTATCATTTCCCCCTCCTTTTAGATTGTAAGCCCTCAGGGGCAGGGCCCTCCTTACCATCTTGTCTTGAATTGTATTGTAACTGTAATGTCTTCCTTATATTGTAAAGCGCTGCGCAAACTGTTGGTGCTATATAAATACTATGTAATAATAATAATAATAATAATAAATCCCAGTTGTACCCTCACTATTTATTACATACGGTAATAAATATAGGGCTCTTTTGAATTTTAAACTGCTAAGTGTTGCAGCAAGGTTTAAATTGTCATGTGCCTGCAGAACATAGGAGAGTAGGACTGCATCTCCTTTACAAAAATCATCTGCCCATTTCTCCAACTGGATTGATCAAAAGTACTCTTGCTCCTGGACTGCGCTGTGGATTGGAGCAGTGTTTGGCTTATAATTAATTAATGTTTCACAAGCACAATAGGGGAAATTAGAATAAGTTCCAATATAAGATTTTTACAATAGTTGTTGCTGAACTCACCAACTGAAAATAATTTTTTTTGTCATTTTTTCATGTCAGTGTTGGATAAACATATAAGAAGATTCAAAAATATGACTGCATTTCTATTAGTAATTTCTTTATAGCTGATTTTAGGATAGTGGTGGTTTTAACACCTTTCCCACAGAACTAAATTTGTCTGCAACCTCAACTTCAGACATTATGTCACAGGGCCTCAGCTACTGCTGCTATCACTGGGAATTGAGAGAGTATTGAGGAGATTGATGTATGTACTGACAGTGTTTTGTGGATCATTTTTGTCAATTTATTTCACTATCTACAGAATCAGGAATCACAAACATTGCTACAAATATTTGATTTGACAACTGGCATGTTACCATCTGCAGTCAAAAATAAAAGTGTACATTAAACCAATTTTTTTTTTAGGAATTGAGAATGTTCAAAAAATAATATGTGTGACTATTCACTTCAGTTATCCAATTACGTGAAAATAAATTTCCTGCTTACTTATTTCATTTGCCCATGATTGGATAATTGAAGTAAATCTTCACACATTTTATTATGTGAACATCCTCATATCCTCTCATAAATCAGCCTTGTAAACCTTACATAGGCAGCACAGTTGTGTAGTGGTCAGTGCTTCTGCCTTATAACACTGAGGGTTCCTGGTTCAATTCCTGGCCAGGTCACTATCTACAATAAGTTTGCATATTCTCTCTGTGCTGGTGTGGGTTTCCTCCCAAACTCCAAAGACATGCTGGTAGGTTAATTGGCTCCTAAATTGGCATTTGAGATACAGCCCTTAGATTGTAAGCTTCTTGAGGGCAAGGACTAATGTGTAAATTGTTGGCACTATATAAATAATAATTTACATCAAAACTAGTTTAAGGGCCCATTCCCATCGGGTCCATGCATTACTGCACTCATTTTTTCAATTGCACCACACCACAATGCATGGCATTGCGGTACCACATATTGTGGCTCGGTCGATCGCATTGCGGACAGGAGGTGTGTTTAGGTTCATTGTTAACGCACAGACCCGGTTTGGATGGGACCTCCAGTGTATGTAAATCCTAGATCTATTTTATTATGTTTGATATGATGTATCACTGTATACATTTTATACACTGTATACAAGTTTTGAGTTTGTGCTGTAACACTAAGCCACTGCCTCACTATTAGCATCGTCAGCCGGCCATGCACATTCCTTCAGTTGGCTATTGGAATATAGGTCTGAAGGAGGCATGGGCCTGTGCATGCCTCCCGCAGACCTGATAGGTAGCCTAACAACCAACCGAAGGAGCACCCACAGCAGGTTGGCAACACTGCTGCTAAAGGCAACAACTTACTGTTGTCAGTCGGAAATATGAAGTGCTGTTAATTTAGAGGATTTCCCCTATAAATACTTAATTGAAGAGCATGGCTTTACAGGTCTTGGTTACAGGTAAACCAAAGTGCAGTGCTATAAAATTCCAGCACCTGCACAGTGAAGATAGCTCACGCATCCATATGCCCAAATTTGTTTCAACCCATAAAATCAATCTGAGCTTTATTTTAAGTGGGATATGAAGTACAAGCATAATACAAACATATTCCTTATATGTCTTCTATTACAAAGGCCAACTGGAAATGCCGCCTTGTGACCTCTTTGGTATTCACTTCAAATTCTCATATCAAGACCTTGACTTGTTCTCTATAGATTCAGGGTACCTTACGAGGGGTATGAGCAACTTAGTTCAACCAATGACCTCTCTAATATTAATAGGCACATTGATGCTTAAATACAGCCTTTAGTTTCACTGTTCATTATTTGCATAGACTTCAAGTGAAATGGATAAAAAGCTAAACTTTTATACTTACGCAATTGAGATTAAGGAAGTTTGCCTCAGAAAAAGAGAAGTCTTCATAGTCTCATACTGGTGGCTGGAGGAGGGGAGGAAATACATTGCAGAAAAGGACAAGTAGAAATGTGGCAACTTTCCTGGCCAAAGCTTGTGGTTTGGCTTTTCAAAGTATAGGAAATTTATTATTGATGTTATATTTACTTAAATTCTGTATTATACTGACCAGCTAATCTGCTTGCTTTACACTTTCTTATAAGTAAGAAAGAACAGTGTCTGTCTGTTCTCTTTAATAATCTTAAGCCAGCCATAACAACTTCATATGACATATCTTACCTATCTGTCCTCTACAGCACATTACAAGTGGGTCCAATGTTACTGTAAAGATCATGGAAGGTTATTAGTAAGACATAAGGCTATAAATGGAGTGAACAAGTTGGTTGGACATTTGTGACCATTCAGCCATCAAGACATCAGCATTCATATCTTCACTCAGATCAAGGGAATAGTAAAATATTTTACAATGTTCCCAATCTCAGCCAGAACTGAAAAAAATGTGGCTGGAGTTTGGCTTTAAGTCTTAGTTCTCTCTGTATTTTAGAGTAAAAAGCATTTTTTAAAAGGTTAATATCCACATAATTGATGTAGTGGTCATAGTGAAAGGTATGTGTTCCTAAAGAGCATGGTTTATTGTGGCACACATCTTCCAGGATCAGGGCTCAGCATTAAGTCACATGACATCTTAGAGTCACCAAAGAAATCAGCCGCTGCCAGGCAATGTAATCACAGTTCAAATTGGTAAGCAAGTAGTTAGATAATGCCCGCCATGGGGGTGATTTACTAACCTAAGCACACACACGCACCAAGCACACACACGCACCAGGTGCGTGTGCATTTTTACACAGCAAAACGTATTTATCAACCAAACACGAGCAACGTGTCACATTTTCACGCCGTTATGGCGCGTTTTTATGTATTTACGTACGTGCGCGTCATGTAGCATGCGCCATAGGCTACACGCCGCTCTAATAGCGGCATGCAAGTCTCTAAAAGCATATTTCCACTAATGCCATATATGGAAAAATCATGCACATGATGCATATATAATGCTGCTTCACAGTTTAGACAAAAATGGTTAGCTCATGCATTTACATTCCTGCATTCATCAACGCAAGCAACACAATGTAGAGCTAATTTACACAACATCACCTTGCAATTCATGCAGGGCTTTGCACAACACACCTGCTGGGTGTGTACACACTACAAAGGTGTCTAGATTTCACCAATAGATCATGCTGGGAGGGAACACACTACAGAGGTGTATACTTGTTTGTGGCGTGTTTATAAGGTTAGTAAATCAACCCCCATGTGTCCAACTCTGATCGATATCTGAATGGTGATGTATCTCTACTCAGTGCCCCCTTTCTAACATATCCTATTAGTACTCATCCAGGGGCAAGTGCCCCCAAGACCACTCTTATCCAGTAGTATTTCTACATTTGAACTAGGCATAACTTTATTCTTTAGTTAGATATAGGCATTACAGCTTTAAAAATGTAACTGCAAAGTCATATGTATTTACCCTGGTTCAGATGCAGACAATAATCTGGTGGTTTTTCTTGCATACTTCCATGACTGATGGCAATAGAAATATATTGTATTATAAATGGTGTTGATTTTAACATTCATTGTTTTTTTCTGTTACTGAATAAAAAAGTTGTATATGATTCCATACCAAATATATATATGGTATAACCATACTGAATATAAATAATATAAGTATCTAACAACATTTAATATTGTTACAGGTGGCCGTGTGAAGACTTGGAAAAAGCGATGGTTCATTCTCAAAGATAATTGTCTATACTATTTTGAATATACAACGGTGAGTGAACCATACCAAAGCAAGACAGAGGTGTTTATGGTAACATAATGTAATATGTTGTGTTTCATGTTATTTTCAGGACAAAGATCCACTTGGAATAATTCCTCTGGAAAACCTGTGTGTTGAATTAGTTGAAGATCCGAAAAAGCCGGTAGCTATATGGGGAAATTTTTTTAATGGTAGTGTCTAATCAGAAGGGTTTATAGATATTTCACTTATAAAGTCAGGTGTACAGTATTTTAGAAAATCATGATGGTTTGGCTGTATTACTACTAGCATTATGTGTTCTCCCTTTCAGGGGGCTGGGGAGGGGGAGTAAGGCATAATAACTAACTGTAGTATCAAACACAGCCAGTAATATAGTCCACGTACATTTAAAGGAGAACTATGGGGTAAGTGTTTTTCCCCATGGTTCTCTTAAGGGTCATGGGAGGACATATACTAGCGTCCTCCCATGATCCAAAGCACAGTAAATCGCGAGCTACAGCTTGCGGTATACTGAGACCGCGCAGCCGGGATGGATCCCAACATTACTGTCGAGATCCACCAATCTACATGAATGACAGCTAGCTCTTCCTAATTAGAGGCAGAGCCAGCTGTACCCGCCCCCTCCACTGTCCGTTCCTCCAGTCAGCGCTGGAGGATCGGAGCGGGGAGGGGGGGAATCCCTGCAGGGAGCCGTGACTGACAGTCACGGCTCTCTGCAGGGAGATGATCGAGAAGTGAGCAGGCGCCGGTATGCGTTCATTCCCTCCCCATTCCTATGAGCCGGCATGTGACAGTTTCCTTGTCACAAGTCGGTTCGAACTATGAGGATGGGTGATTTTCACTCACCTCATAGTTCTCGTTTAAATAGGGTTGTGTGAAATTAGAAAAACACATATTAAAATCTGCCTCTATGTACTGAGTCACACTTGATATTCCTCTAGATATAAGGAAGGGCTTAATGGACAGTAGGGTCCAAGGGTATAGGTAAAACAACAGCACCCATGCAACTGTTTTGGCCAAGTACAAAATAGTATTCAAAATGCAGAAAATAATTCTAAGAAGCTCCCTGTCTGGCTAACTATGTTATGTTTAGAGGTGATGGAAAACATTTACCACTGCACTGTCCAAGAACCACTAGAAGACAGCGGGTTAATTAGCCCAACAGTGCTTATCTAAAACATCAGTTTTCAGTGGATCTGGCTTTTTAGCTGTCCAAACCAGGAGCACTGACTCACTGAGAATGATCTATCCATTGGCGATTTGATCCTTACATAATCAAACCTTATGCAAAATTTTGATCTGAATTTAGTGACTGTTGGCCCCACTATGTAAGAGAATGAAAATGGACTAAACCCAGAGATTCATGAATATTTTGGAAGTTTTTAAAATATTACTAAAACCAACCCCCATTGTAAAATTAGGTGCGGACGGCAGATGCTTCCCGTAATGTGTGGTGGATTTACTTCCTGGTTGCGGGCGCGTGCAAACAGGACCCCTCCGGGAATCTAAACAGCCGTTACCGGCAGTTATATACAAGCGTTCAGCCGGCTCTACAATGTGGATCACCTCCCCGTCACTGCCGGTTATCTCGGGCTCCGCTGTCCCTCCTGCGAGCCCAGGAACAGCTGCCAGTACTGAGAAGGAGGAGAGATCAGCATTTCCCCCCACCGCTGATCTCTCCTCCTTCTCTCTCTAAAGGCGGAAGCGATGTATATTACATCGCTTCCGCCTTTAGCTGTAATTTTTCTGGCTGAGAGCCAGAGAAGAAGCTGGTGAAGCAGATCTCTGCTTCATCAGCTTCTTTGGGGGTCCCTAGGTGACATTAGGGGTCTTAGAGACCTCTGATGTCTCCATAAAGAGGACCTATCATTGTTTTTTTTAGCTATCACATAGGGAGCTTGCTATCCCCCTATGTGATAGCAATCAAGTTAAGTTTAAAAAAAAAAGTCAATGTCAACCATTGCACCATACATTATATATCGCCACGACGTCGAAGTGCGAGCAATAATTCTAGGGTCATCAACCACGATAACACTAAATTGATGATGCAATTTTAAAGCTAGACTTGTTTGGTGTCTATTTACCCAATATGAACCTCTATTTTATGTACCAAAAAGTTGGGTGCTGATAAATGTTTTATAACATAACGTAGGGAAAATTGTTTTTACTTCTGTTTTTTTTTTTTTTCATTATATAGTAAAAAATAAAATACCACCAAAAGAAAGCTCTATCTGTCCCTAAGAAATGGTATAAACTTCATTTCAGTACAGCGTTGCATGACGGAATAAATGTCAGTCAAAGTACTACAGCGCTGAATACTTAAAAATGGCCTGGACAGGAAGGGGGTTTAATAGCCCGGTCAGCAAGTGGTTAAACAACTCGTTATATTCACAAAAATTTAACACAGAACAACAAAGCAAGAGAGAAAGAAGTGCTCCTGCTTTATCAGGCAGTAATCCCTGTTGGGCATATTGATGGGGCTTAGCATATATCCCTTCAGTCCAAAAACAAAATGAACCTCGGAGTAAGCTAAAATCATTCTTCATGCATGGAGTCTATTTATAAACACTTCACAGAGTCATTCTCCCTGCAAATCTCTGAGAATGCTTCTTCCACTTCAATAGAGGCAAAAATGTACATCCTTGTATATTTTCTTTTCAGGTCAAATGTAATGTAATTTATTACCACATTATGGTCACTTGATGAAGGTGAGGAGCATAGGTAATAAGTATTTATTCCCTAAACCTCTCAGCTCCATCTGGTGCCCATAATGTTGTGTTACATTACATTACATTCAACCTGAAAAGAAAATATACTAAGAATGTTTGTTTTTGCCTTGAGCATTCATAGAGATTCACAGGGTGAATGGCTCTGCAAATTGTTTATAAATAGACCCCGTAGTGTGCAATATCCACCACCATCAGGACTGCTAATAAATGCCCTCACTAGGAGCTCTAAGTTCTTACAATGAACAAGATCTAAAGAGCATTTATGACCAAAAGTCTTTGACAAGACTCCATTTGCTCTTTAAGAGACTCCCATCTCAATCGCTTTATCATGCTGTCTGCCTTGTATCATAACTGGCCTTCTCACCTGACCCTTATGTACTCTCTGTTATATCTCTGTTGTGATGTGAAACTTCCCAGACACTTTACTCCAGGAGAATAAATCACTCAATGATGCAGAGCCAGTATTAAAACAGACTTTTTTTTTAAATGTATAATGTATTTTGTCATGAAAACATCTTCAGTTCATCTTGTTTGGGATATATAAGCACTGTTCATTGTGTGGAATATTGCTGGGATATTGAGTATGCTTTATTTTTAATATAGTTTTAATTACCATTTTTGGGGGAACCCTATTTTGCCTAATTTTCTCCAGCACTGCTGGAATCAGTCATGTGACAGAGCTGCTATGGAATGTGAATGACCATGCCTCAGGTGAATCTGTGCCCAGACTGAGCACATTATTTACATATTCCATACAAGCAATAAAAGAAATTGTAAACAAGTCCCTATTCCCCAATGTGGCTATAGACATTGTGGAGAGATTCATCTTAAAAGTTCATGATGAATTTCTATGAAAGCAGAAGCTTGGCAGCCTGCCAGCCTTCTAATGTAAACAAATACCAGGTGTTTGTAAACTGCTAGAAACTGACTGAAATCCAAATTTATAGTCTCTGTTGTGATCTTTGAGATCTGTATAGATTAATTACTACGTGCAGCTAGAGAGCTCAGGGATGGCTTGTTTTAAAGCTCTTTTACTGTTTGTTAAAAATATGTAAAATTAATTTGAATGTTTAAAGTCTGACAAGTGCACTTTAAGAGGGTAATCTGGCATGTAGACACAATGGGACTACCAAAAATATGCAGTCTAAATGATCTTTGCACAAATGCACACGGATCACTTGAGTGTACAAGTTTAAGGCTTTAAAGGAGGAGAGGGGAAGCAGAAAAACATGCCAGATGCTAGCTTATCAAGGGGAAAAGCAATCCGCTTAAATATTCTAACAGGGCTGATCATTAATTCCCAAGAGTTATTAAGCTTAAGAACGTGAAGATAGATTTCCAGTTTGGTAAAACTGGTTAGATTTATGTACAAACTGTCACAATTTTAGTCAGTGTAAACTGAGAATATAAGAAATTGCATGGCCAATGACACTGCACATCCTATTAAAAGGTACCAATATGGAGGCTAAGGAGAGGAGCTCAACTTTTATAGGAAAAGTTGAGAATTATATGAAACTTCAGCTGCCTGTATCTCTGGATCAACTAAGGGGTCTATTCACTAAGCTGGTACGGCTGAACGTATATTGGCTGAAATCAGCCGTACATCGTGTGGCTTCGTGTGACTCTTTTCTTTTTTTTCTTTATTCTGACACGAAGCCGTGTCAGAATAGAAAAATAAAATATAAAATTGTATTTAGCTATTGTACCCGCCCTCTGCTGCTGTCAATCAGTAGTGGTGGACCTGATGGAGAACTGCAGGGTGGGTGCAAAGCTAATTTGCTATTGGCTATTGCAAATTGAATTAGCCTATAGGAATCTAGCAATGCATTCCTATGGCCAAAAATGTTTTCTTTTTCTTTCTTTCTATTCTGACACAGCTCCGTGTCAGAATAGAAAAAAAAAGAAAAAGCAGTGCTTCTCTCCTTGGCGGCCGGGAGCGGAAGACTCCCGGAGCGCCAGGGAGAGTTTGCTGTCTGGAAATCAGTGTCCCTGGTTAGCTGGTAACCAGGGACGCTGATCTCTCTGCAAGTAGCTGGAGCCAGCCGCAAGATAACGGCTGGCTCCGCCCAGCTGTCAGAAGCAGGCTGTCGGCCGGCTTTCAGCGCGCCTCAGCCGAGCCGAGGCATATGCGTTCGGCTCGACTGAGCCGCTCGGCCAAGTTCGTGAGCTGTACGGGCTATAGTGAATAGCCCCTACAGCAGCCCTTCGGTTCTACTGAACCGAAGGGGTCCTGGGGCCGAAGCTAGCCGAAGGATCGGCCGAAGCTACAGCTAGATCCTTTGGCTGCTTCGTGAATAGACCCCTAATTGTTTTGACCTGAAGGTAACCCCAGCTTATGGATATTTTCATCATATAATCAGTTTAGGTTGCCCAGGATTGTGACAGGTTTATCTTACGTTGAACCTGAATGAGAATATTACATTTTACTTGTATAACATGTTTAGTATAAGAGGGATCTATTTAATTATTATGGGATACAGCATTTCTTAGTATATAATTTAAGAGTAACTAACTGACATTGTCCTCTCTGCTCTGTGAACAAAATAAAAATGTAAACTTAAATCCTTCTGGTAATATTTCTAGTCCTATATACTCCACGCTGCCAAGTTCATATAAAACAGAAGCTGAACCATTAAAGCCCCTATGTTTTTTTCTGTCTTCTTGGTCTACTAGTTATGTGATGTGTAAAGTCAGCAATTCTTCTCCTAAGGCAGTTACCTATCTGTCTGAATTCCTGTGACTCATAAGACTGCAGAGGTAATAAGGCAAATGAAACATGGAAGTAAGCTCTTTTTGTAATCATTTTCGACAGCTTCCATGTCTTCGAAAATGCAGGAAATATAAATAACATGTCAACCACATAATGACACAGAAAATACCCATAGATGAAAGATGATGTTCCTGAAACATATCAGCTGTAAAAATTATTACATGTCAATGGGCACTTCATGTCTGGGTGAACCCCAGGGTTGACTGATCACTGATCACAAAGAAATGTTAGATTAGCCAGGGAGGATTGTCCTGAACAATCCCTGTTCTTTTCTAGAGATAAGGCTGGCACCAAAGGTGTCTACATAAGACAGAAACAAACATGCTTAGCCAAGATGAACATGGATGTTCATGTAATGACTGTTCTTTTGAATGTTTGAATGGAAGAGCTAATTCAAAGTAATGAATGTAATGTTTTCTTCCATTTGTTTCCTTAGCACTGCTTTGACCTACATGCAAGAGGACAGACCGTTAAAGCTTGTAAGACACAGGCAGATGGGAAGAAAGTTCAAGGAAACCACCAATCATATCGCTTGTCTGCCACCACTGATGAAGAAAGGGAGATCTGGGTACAGAGCCTCAAGTCAGTACATACAAAATACTAAATTACTTAAAGTGTATGAATAGTCAAAATCTTTTTTTTTTAGTTTTCCATAGAGCCAGGAAGGCATAAAGCCTCACCAGGTAATTTATTTGCTGTCTGTGTACTATTGGGGAAATTTTCCTTCACTCCCTTTCACAGTTCCTGTTAGTGGAAATGTAACACAGTGAGGGGAATTAGACACTTAACCCCATAATAGGTGTTCCCATTAGAAGAGTTCCCCTCATCTCCATTGGGGGCAATTCTAAAATGTTGGATTTCCACTTATTTTCTGTTTTGGTTACATTGGTCACCAGAACAAATAGAGTGGTGAGGGGGCGTAACTAGAAATCACAGGGCCCCATAGCAAAATTTTGTATGGGGCCCTGTGATTTCTAGTTACACCCCTTGAAGAGCCCACATAGCTCACCTGAGGAGTGGTGAATCACCCCAATTGGAACCTAAACAGCAATGAAAACTTTACAGGGGGGTCTAACCCTCCCCACTTTATCGAAAACTAAAAAGAGATATACTTCAATGGGATTATTTTCTAAAGTTACTGTTGTGCAAGGCTCAGTTCCTGAAGCTAACAGATCAGGGTAATTATCTCTATTTTAAAAAAGATTGTTGTTTTTAATGCCATTAAATCTGAAATTTATAATCACATTGCTGAAAATAAAGTGCATTAGGCTGGTATTAAAGATTTCTGATCTAAGCCTGTAGTGTCATACTGTTTGAACAAGCAACACAAACTCACCCAATTTTTACCAAGACAGCCTGTTGTAAATGAATATGGAGATTGCAATTGAAGACCTTTTTCCACAAATGCTTGATGGCTGAGCATCTCTGTCTGGATTACTTTGAGTCAAGCGTGTAAAGTCACAGTGAAGAGAAACCAGTGTTGCCTATTCATTCAATGTTTTAAGAGCAATTGTTTTTAATTTAATTTGCTTTAACTACATTTGTATTTCTTTTTCTATCTGTAAAAAATGCTGATATTATATATACAAATTGGATATAGGGTATCCACATATCACAGGGTTTACAGAATAAATTGGGTTTTCTGAAGAGAGAGCACAGCAATACCTTTTCTTTCCTTTCAGACTGCCTCTTTCTAATTGAGGGAAGAGGGGTTGAGTCATTCCTCTACCTCAGTCAGCTGTGCATTTAACCTGAGTCAGCTATTGAGCTCTATAAACATCATTTATTGAAACTGGAGCAGCAAAATCTGGAGCAGCTGTGCATGGCAACCAATCAACCTCTATCTTTTATTTTCAAAGCTTAACTGAACAAACAGAAGAGATAAACTGATTACTATGGGCAACTGCTCCAGATCCTTTGATAAATTCCCCCATTGTTATCCCCCCCCCCAAAAAAAAACAAACACCCCCCCCCCCATCCCTGACTCAGCCACTGTTAGCCTGGAAAGGAAGCCCTATCTTGTATTTGGAGCTAACACAATGTTAATGATTCTGACAGACAGCATACATGACTCCGAACACTCATTCTAATAAAACATCTAAAAAAACATAAAAATTTGCATTAGGTGAATATGCATGCATCTTTAGTAGTGCAGTGTTCTAGCAGCCCTCGCACACTGTAAGCACCAGCCATTTTGTTATAATGAAAGTGAATGGGGCACTTACACCCTTCCCTACTGCAATACCATAAACATGAGAAAAACAGCTTGCAGGTCAATTAAAAGGACAATTATTGGGAAAGTAAAAAATATTCTTCCCAATACTTAGAGCCAGTATGGCACATTGCAGTTCTCACATGCCGGCTCTATTTAATGAGAGCTAAGTGATCATCCAACTGCTTATGGCTCGGCTCACAGTCTCCTCCCTGCAGAGAGTAGTGACTGTCAGTCACCACTTCCCGCATGTATTCCCTCCTCCCCTCTCTGTTGCTCCAGTGCTCATTGGAGGGACAGGCAGGGGAGGGGGTGGGCTCAACTGGCTCTGGCTCTAGATAGAGCCAGCTATCAGTCAAGCAGCTGGAGTGGATCCCGGCAATATTGTCAGGTACCTTCCCGGCTGAAGCACGCCTCTGCGCTGTCAGCCTATAATGGGCAGTCGCCCGCAACATGCTGACTTTGGGTCACAGGAGTACACTTGTAAATGTACTCCTGTGAACCAAAAGATGTGGCTTTAATTCTCTTATAAAGCTGAACTCCAGGCAAACAGCTAAACATATTACATATAAAAAGGACACATAAATGGACATATGAAAGCTGTTTTACCCGCCATAGGATTTGCATTTCTGCCAATTCAGTCTTGAGACTTACACAGTGCTGCTACACAGCATTGGCAGGGCAGGGTACCTGCCTTTTCTCTATAGTTCAGTGACACAGGTTGTGTCCCTCCTCCAGCCTGTGACTGGACAGTGAAAGGAGAAGCAGAGTGATTAGCTCATTCCTATATCACACTGCTCTTATCAGCATGTTTTTGGACATGAGCATTTCAGCACAACTAATTAGCTCTTTGTGCAGTTTCTCTCTCCGCAAGTCTTAACTTCAGCTGCACAGGGACAGCAAGGGCTGATATCAGCTCAAATTCAGTAGCTTACAATAATAAAAAAAACTAAAATCTACACATTTAAACAGGGGCTGACTGGCAACTTTTAGCCCAGGGGGCAAGTACAACCCAGAGGCCCATGGTGCAGCAACTTGGTCCCCCTCCCGCCATGCCTCTTCCCTGCCTTCTCTCCGGTTGTGCAGGCTCTCACCAGGGGTCCAGAGAATTTCACGGGTGCGTGTGGGTGCAACAGAGGGGGCTCCCTAATTAGGCTCTCAGGTGGCCTATGCGGACTGTCAGGTGGTCAGTGCAGGCTCTTTGCTGGTCAGTGCGGGATCTGTGGGGGCTCCCTAATAATCAGTGGTGGCTCTGTGGAAGCTCCCAAGTGGGTAGTGGGGGATCCCTGGTGGTTAGTGGGGGATCCCTGGTGTAGGGTGACCATTTATCTAGAGCTGTAGCTAATGATTATTTTCAAAATCGATTAGTTAGCAGATTATTAAGTTCAATTAAACGGTTAATCGGGATAAAAATAAATGGCTCCAGTGATGGACTCCTAGTTTGTATTGAGATTGTAGTCCATCGCAGGAGCAAGCTTGGAGCTGTGGAAGAAAAAAAAAAAAGTGTGGTGTGCAATATAGTGAAATGGAAAGTGTAAAATTATACAGCAATCAATGCAGAATGGCACCGGCTATAGAGGACTACAAATCCCAGTAATACATTATACAGCGCAATGCAGAATACCTCCAGCTATAGTACATTATAGCTGGCGGTATTCTGTGTTGCGCTGTATAATGTACTATTGCTGAGATTTGTTGTAGTCCTCCATAGTTGGTGGTATTCTGCATTGCGCTGTATAATATATTATTGCTGGGATTTGTAGTCCTCTATGCAGCGCAATGCAGAATACCACCAGCTATAGAGGAGTACATCAAATCCCAGCAATAGTACATTATACATACAGTGTATAATGTATTGCTGGGATTTGTATTCCCATGTATAATATACAGCACAATGTACCATGCCTGCTCCAGCCATCCCGGATCGCATAACGATGCGATCCGAGCTGGCTGGATCTAATCAGGCACTGTAGAGGGCTGCCCGTGGGGGCCTCCAGAGGTCAGCCTAGAGGAGCGAGCGGCCGTCGAGTACAGAGCCGCATCTGTAGCGGTGCAAGTGGCGGCGGAGGGAGGGAGCCACTGCTCCGGCGGCCGGATGATTCTTTAAGTGGGGGCCAGTGACGGGCCCCCTTATGGCAGCGGGCAGCGGCCATTTTTAAAGGCAGCAGAGAGGCCCAGGGGGGCAATTGCCACCCGGCCCCCGGCCCCCGGCCCAGTCCGCACCTGCATTTAAAGATGTTTCTTGATTACAGAACCACATTCATTTGTATTTTTTTTTTATCTGCCTGGAGTTTTAATTTGTAAGTTATGTTGACTTGACAGATGAAAAATTCTTAATCAGAGAAATTCTTCATGTCACATGCCATCAGCATATCTTAAACTGACCTGTAACTATATATCTTTTTTTTTTTTTTCTTTAAAGTCCAACTAAAAAACTTTATTTTTTTTTCAGATCCAGCATTTCTTGGAACCCTTTCTATGACCAGGTCTCTATACAGAAGAAAATATCATCAATCAAGAAGGACCATTGAATAAGCAGATCAGCTGTATGTATTTCAATGGATTACAAAACCTGGACTGGAAAACTCTGAACTATTCACAAGGATTCATAACCTAGAGATCAGCCGTGGATGCCATGTTGTCTTTGTTGAATACACTTTCAGGGTAATGCTCTAGCACAGGGTGGTTGTGTAGCTCAGGTTCCCACCTCTTCCTGGAAATCCTGGAGCATACGGTGCCACAAATACTTTTCTTACAGAAATATGTGCAATTCATTTCAAACTATGGAAGAAAACACTCATCTTTAAAGACAATGGGGAGTAGGGATTCATACCAAGAAAAAGAGCGCGTGATCTTTAGCATTGTAATGCTTTTTTATGTGTGAGCGTATTCACAAACATACACTGAATAAAAGGGGGATTCTAGCATTTATTTTTCAATCAATACAACAGTCCCCAAACTGTTTTGTATTTTTTGATGTACATGATGTTAAGTATCTAAGGATATAACAAAATAAAATATTAATTATACCAATGATCGATTTATTACAGTGTATTGTTGTCAGCAGCCTTGGGGCTATTGTAATCAGCTCTGTCATTACCTGACCTGCAACAGCTTTAAAATGTACTTGTTTAGCAGGACTATAAATGCGGAAGCTGTAATTCCCTACTGTACAGGATATTTATTGATTACCAAGCGATAAGATATAACATAATGTGCCTGTTCTCAAGGAGCTGTCCAAGCATGCTGGGATTCAACTACCCAGCCAGGAGTATGCAAAAGGATTAAGAGGCTTATTCACTAATGAGCCGAAGGATCCAGCCATAGCTTCGGCTGATCCTTCGGCTCTCTTTGGCCGCTTGAGCCCTTCGGTTCAGTCAAACCGAAGGGCTGCTGTACAGGCTATTTACAATAGCCCGTACAGCAGCCGAGCGGCTCAGCCAAGCCGAATGCATATGCTTTGGCTCGGCTGAGCCGTAGCGACAAGTGAATCATAGATAAAGGATATCCGGTCCAGTGCTCAGAGAACCAGCTGATTCTGCAGGAAACTAAAACTTTTAAACATCAAGAAGCACACTTCATTGTACGTGATTTAATTAGAATATCAGATAGATTAAAACATTTTGACATTACCTTCACTTTAAATCACACAGTTGCTGCCACTTTTACAAGTGCCACTATTTTTTGCCTCTCCTATTGGATTTTTTAAATACATAATTAATAATAAAGCGGATTTCTGTGCTTGGGGTGGTGAGTGTTGCCATAATGTTCATAAAGTATGAACAAAATACTTGTATAATGGTTCACTTACCATACATGTGTGTCGTCGTTCAGTGCTGCCCAACCCTGGATGTCTAGAGAGAAGCTTTCCAAACTACTTTCTAACAGTTTTTTTTTCAGGAGTCCCAGCATATACAATCCATTTACAACATCATGATTGTAATAGGAATACATACTAGACTTGTTTTTGATAATACAATCAATGGCTATTTTAAGTTGTGAGTGCTGCCTTCCGTCTGCCCATCACTTCTAGAACTTCCTGGATTCCCAGTGTGCTTTGCATCTCTTCACCTGCTGCTTGATGTGATGCAATCGCAATTTCTCAAGCCTACATATCGCATCATGCATTGCTTCCAGCAAGCAACGATAATGTTACATTGTTCCGACATTGACTTGTAGTTCAGAAGGCAAGCTTTATGAGGGTTGTAACACAAGGAAATGCATAATCATAGGGCTGAGTGAAACCGTGTAGTGCATTGAGGAAGTACATTCTTTGGGTATCTTCAATAAGTAAGTTTACAAACTTCTAGACTGATGTGGTTATTAGGATTGGGAAAGAACTTCATTATAGAAATACATATTTATTTTTCATTTTAACCATAGATGCCCACTTCAAGTCCGCGGTGTTAAACCCCCTTCCCATCCAGGACATTTTTCAGTGTTCAGCGCTGCAGTACTTTGATTGATGTTTATTCCGTCATGCAACGCTGTACTGAAATAAATGTTATACCATTTTTTGGGGACAGATTGAGCTTTATTTTGGTGGTATTTAATCACCACTGGGGGTTTTATTTTTTACTATATTAAGGGAAAAGTACCAATTTTTTTTTTAAAACTGTTTCCCCTATATTAAATGATAAAACGGGGTCACGTGGGGTAAAAAGACACCAAACATGTCAAGCCTTAAAATTGCGTGCGCGCGAAACATAAAAAAACTACAATACCCAAAATTGGCTACAGGCGACGCTTTAAAAGCTTTTACCGCTCATCAGTTTAGTGTTATCAGTGATTGATAGCCCTAAAATGATTGCTCTCACTCCGACGTTCACGACGCTATGTAACATGTGTAGCGCAATTGTCATTTTCGCATGCTGGCGCCGCGAACACGTATTTACGTTTATATGTGCGTAAATGTGGGGGTGGGGGACTTAAAAATTTAGGTTTTTTTAAAAAAAACTTTTTTTATTTGACTGTTATTTATTTTCACTCTTTTTATGTTTTTTATACTTAATGTCATTACTATTACATAGTTGGATAACAATCCACCTATATAATAGCAAAGGCACACTGACATGTCCTCTACATGGAGACATTAGGGATCTCTAAGACCACTAATGTCACCTGGGGACCCCAAAAGAAGCTGATGAAGCACAGATATGCTCCATCAGCTTCTTCTCTCTGGCTATATCAGCAAGATGACTGACAGGTGAATGCGGAAGTGATGTAATACACATCACTTCTGCATTCACATCACGGAGGGAGGTCAGCAAGGATGGGGCAGCGGATCCCGGGATTGAAGGTGAGGGGTCAGGAGGGGGAGCAGCGGCGGATCTCCAGGGGGGGGAGGGGGTTCACGCAGCCAGGACATACACGGGATCGGTAGGCTATAGAGCCGCCGATTGTGTGTATGTGAAACAGCCAGTAACGGCTCTTTGCATTGAACTGGCTTTTTCTGCCCGTTGCGCGCTAGGGGGCACACGCAAGCAGAAAAAAAATGCCGTCTGGAGACGGCAACCCGCAAGTGTGAGTCCGCCGTCCGTCCGTTTTTTTGCAACGGGCGGACGGCAACCGGTTAAGGTTTAGTCCTGCTATAAATCCATTTATTATGGATGGGAAAAGTAACAGGAGACATAGGGATATGTCAATGATCATGAAACAGGGGTGAGATTCCAGGCCCAAATATCCATATTTATTTACAAACACTCAGCTGATGATCGAAAAGCACATTCCTCGACTCTGAAGTCCCCAGGACTTAGATCAAGTCTTCGTGTAGCATGTCTCTTTATGTATCACCTGAGCCGTTGGCATACCCACCCTCCCAGTCATGTGCATGCCACAGGAAGACCCCCTGTAAGGAGGACAGAGATCTTCTCAAATGTTTAGGCCTCATACACCCATTCACCAGGTAACGAAAAAACACTGCAATGGCATCAGCAACACTTCACAAATACATTACAAAATAATTTATAAAAGCTCATGTTCTGTGATACCCCACTACTGGCAAAATCACCAAGGTGGGTAGACACAAAGCTAGGAGTTAAATAAAAGAGATCTTGGTGCTGTAGTCCGCTAGAGCAGTGGCGTCACAAGGGGGGTGCGGCCCGCACCTGGGTGACAATATTGGAGGAGTGACACCAAAGTGACTGACAGTCATTTTGGTGCCACCCCCTCTAAAAAGTCGGGCACTCGGTCATGGACCGAGAGCCACAACAGTGTCAGGAGAGAGGAGGGGACCCGGCGGCATACCTCATCTTGCCAGGTGAACATCCCCTCCTCTCTCTGCCAGGCATCAATTAGATGACCGTGCATGCGCGATGATGCTCTGGTCTCCAATCCGGGTGACACCCGGCCTCGGGACGCCCCTGCCCAAGAGATATAAGAAACCAGCAGGTTATTCACACCACTACACTTCACCTATAGCTAAAATCTCACATTTGAGTGGACTGGCCCCTTTGCTAACAGTGTAAGAGGTGATTATCCTGTGGATATGTAGCTTTCTTTTTTAAAGGCTTAGTTTTCCTTTCTGACCATGTTTCATGGTACAGCCATATTCAGGGTGTAATATGAAACATGGTCAGACTGCAATACCCCCTTCCTGCCTCCCCCACTTACTTAAGTGGTGGAGTTCTTCTCCTGGCAGACTTGTTTACCTTTTTTGATGTGTGTTGCTCCGCCCATCATCCACCTCAGCAGAGAGACTTGTAGTTCTCAATAGAATACAAGTGCATTGACATCACTGCAGTTGTATTCTATTGACCAGGGATGTCCCTCAGGCAGGGGGAATGGTGCTGGCGGTGCACGATGAGACAGAGGTGGGTTGCTGTTGGTGCACGACAAGACCAGGGGGTGGCTGGCACTGCACACGGGTGGTGTTACCTCTGGTGTCCCACCCAGCTCACTGATGCTACTGGTTGCCTGGAGCTGGGTAGGACGCCAGCCAGGGCTTACCGCTTAGCTCTTAGCAACCTGAGACACTGTGGCAAGAAAGAGGGTGGCAGGCTCTCCTGAGCCCCCCCTCCCATGTGATCCAATGAGATACCGTCTAAAGGAAACACTTCCTCCCACCTATGTTACTAAATGTCTGTACCTCAGTACGGACATGGATGGCAGGAACAGCCTGAAAGAGCCAGAGCATTGCACCCGCAATCCACTGATCATGGCTGCAATGCTTTACTGGCTCCTATGCAAAACAATAATAAATGCAATGCAGTGTACATTTTTTTATTTTTTTTGCAAAAGGTGGAATTCTCCTTTAAGAAAAAAAAAAAAAGATTGCATTAAACTTTAGGTTTCTTGCAGTCAGAATGTTTAGCCACAATCACGGAAAGGAAATGCATACAGGAAATAAATACCTAAATTAAATGTCATGTATGTACGTATTAATATACTAACACAGTGACAACCACATGCTGGCTTATAAACAAAGCTGCGCACCCAGTTTTCATATTTTGCCCATTTTAATGTTATTACTTGTAATGGTATCTTTTTAATTTTAAAAATTCATTCAAATTCATTAATTTAAAAATCATTTCGCTATAGATGTATATGAGCACCACAGCTATAGCACATATGCCCACCAGATGTCCTCCAACACCGTGCTACTGTGTGAAAGCAACATTAATAAATGGTGATTCAACTACAGAGTGTTATCAACAGAGCTCAGGAATGGTATAGGCATCTTTCACAGTCAAAACGAC